TCCAGGTCAAGGTCAACCTCAACCTCCTACGCTCCTGTGAAAGAAGTCCCAGCCTATCCAGCCTCCCCGATAACTCAATCCGAGCATTCCAAGCAACTTCCTGGTAAATCTCTTCTGAACCCTGTCCAGGTTAATGATATCCTTACTGTTACAGGGCGACCAGAACTGGACACAGTATTTCAGAAGAGGCCTCAACTATGTCCTGTATGACCTCAACATGATGTCCCAACTCCTGTAAACAATGATCTGAGGGATGAAGGTAAGCAAACGACACACCTTCTTAACCACCCTGTCTCGGCGTGAGACAAACTTCAAAGAATTATGTCACTGAACCCCTAGTTCTCTCTGTTCTACAGCACTACCCAAGGCCCTACTTTTATTTGTATAAGTCCTGCCCTTGTTTGTTTTACCAAAATGCAATACCTTGCATATATCCAAATTAAACTCCATCTGCCACTCCTCAGCCCATTGTCCCCATTGATCAAGATCTCTTTGTAATCTTAGATAACCTTTTTCAGTGTCCACATTCCACATACAAACTATCCTCTGATTGAAAAGGTTTCCCCATGGTTCCCTTTTATATCTTTCTCCTCTCACCTTAAAACATAAGAATTCCCCTATCCAAAGGAAAAGACCTTTGCTATTCAGCTTATCTACACCCCTCATGATTTTACTAAACTCTGCAAAGTCACCCCTCAACCTCCTACATTCCAGCCTATCCAGTCTCTCCTCATAACTCAAACCCTCCAGCCTCGGTAACGCATTGACTCTAAATGTAACAGCAAGCCACACAGAGTAGAAAGTCAATCCGGCCACGAGAAATATCACCTAATCTCTATTTCTTTGGCCCTTGGTCAAATACTTTGGCAACAGGAACTGTCCAGCCTGATACATGGAGAGTGAACATTTGGCCTCGCTTTCTCCACAATAAAAACTGACACAAAATATTCATTTAATATCTCTCCCATCTGTTGAGTTTCAACACAAACGTAACCTCCTTGATCTTTAATGTGCACAACTCTGTCTCCAGTTGCTCTCTTGCTGTACGTGTACTGGTAGAACCTCTTTGGATTATCCTTAGCCTTGGCAGATAAGATTATCTCATATCCCCTCTTTGCCTTCCTGATCTCCCTTTCATATAACAACAAGCTTAATTCTTAACCATCCTCTGGGCAGTTAGAAGGGATGATAAATGCTTGCTGAGTTGCCATGATCCCATGAACAAACAAAAAAAAAATCCAATTACTGAAGTTACTTGTGAACCTGCTGGTGTTTCATTAAGCTGGACGACTGAATTTTTCCCACACACAGAGCAGGTGAATGACTTCTCCCCAGTGTGTATTTGGTGGTGTACAGTGAGGGTTGATGATGTCCTGAACCCAGCCCGACAGTGAGCGCACCTGAACTGTCTACCTTCAGTGTGAACATGTTGATGGTACATCAGTCCACCTGAGCTTTTATAGCACTTCCCACAATCTGCATATTTAAAGGGTCTCTCTTCAGTGTGAACCTGTTGGTGTTTCAATAGGCTGGATGACCGGGAGAAATCCTTCCCACACCTGGAGTAGGTGAATGGTCTCTGCCCAGTATGGACTTGCTGTTGTGTCAGCAGGTGGGATGACTGAATGAATTCCTTGCCATACTCACAGCAGGGAAACAGCCCCTTTGCAGTGTGAAACTGCTTTGAATGCCTTCTCACACACGAAGCAGGTGAACAGTTTCTTCCTGGTGTGATTGCACCAATATGTTTGCAGCTTGGATGGGTAATTGAAACTCCTCCCACTGTCTCCATGGATCCACAGTTTCCTGTCAGTGTGGCATTGCTTCAGTTTCAAAAAGTCAGTTGATCGCCTGAAGCCTCGTCCTCACACAGAATGTGTGCACATTTTCTCTTCACTGTGAATGGCACATCCATCTTCCATTTTCAAAATCTGATGATATTCAACTTACATTAAAATGAAACAATTCTGTCAGATCCTGTCCTTCGACTGCACATCCTCAAATTCCAAAACAATGTGGAATTGACCAGAAACAAAAGAAAAGGAGCATAAGACAACACACAAAAAGAAAGGTAGCTTGTGAAATTAAGGTGAATGATCTGGTAATTTATGGGACTGGCACAGGGGAATAGTGACCATAAAAGCTGCCATCTTACTATTAAATCACCAACTAATTCACTCGTGTTCATCAGGGATGGGAACCTGTCATCCAATCAGGACCTACGGAAGACTCTGACCTCAATGGGAACAAAGGGAGCATTAGGCAGGGGCTAAGAGCAGCCCATGCTTTCAGTGGGAGAGGCTGTAGCCTCTGCAGAGCGACCTGAAGGGGTTCCTTCCTTGCTGTTTTGTTCAGAACAATTAAATAAGAGCCTGTTTTAAAGGAGCATGCAAATCAGCTGCTCGCTAGCTTCCGTGGTGCAATTGGTCAGCGCTTTCAACTCGTACGTGCAGGGTTGGTGGTTCAAGGTCACAAAGGCAGGAGCAAACACTGTTCTCACTCTACTCATTCCATTTTTGTGATATAGGTCCGGGTTTTTAATGCGGTCAGGAAAATGCTCCCCAAACGGAAATCTTATCCAGTGAGTAACCGCAAAGGCATTTTGATGTTGTTATAATAGCTGACGTAAAGAGCTGCAGATGTTGGGAATATTAAACAAAAACAGAAACTGTTGGAGAAACTCAACAGGTTTGGCAGTACCTGTGGGAGTAAACCATTCTGAAACACCCTGATTCTCTGCCCACAGATGCTGCCAGATCTGCTGAGTTTTTCTGGCAATTTATGTTTTTATTTTTAAATGAATGTGTATTCCACCTATTGGGATGAAACAAGCAGACCCACCATGTACTGAATTTAACCCTTACGAAATCTGTGAAGTGATTGGATTCAAACAAACCCAGTAATGAGTCACTCTTCTTCAGCTCCACAGTGAGAGAGACCTGGAAAGGTGAGTGGGTAGTGCGCTGCTGCAGTCATTGCCGAGTGGTTAAGGAGATGGAGTTTGAAACCTATTGGGGTGTCCCTGGGCAGTTTCGAAACCTGCGGACTGTGGTTGAGCACTGAGGGAAAATCAGAAGGGAGTTTAAAGCCTCCTTGTTTGCAACAGGAATCACAGGAAGGGTGGGGAAAAAGCATTTCATCCAGATCGTCAATGGCAAGAATATACAACTCACTGACTGTTGGAGTGGAACAACATTGGAGTTGAGACATGCTCAGATGTACACTTGAGGCTGTGCACGAAATGCTGGGAAATGAGATTAGAACACTCAGGGTCTTCAGTATGAGTGCTGCAGACATGAAGGGTCTTTCTTCAGTGCTGGAGACCTCAGTTTGTGAAGTGACAGGACAATGCTTGCAAAATACACTCCTGTCTGTGAGGCACATTATCCATTGAGATTGGGGATAACTGGCACTGTGCATATTCCTGGAATCAGTATCTGGGAGAATCTGGAAAATGCGATACTGGTGTTTCTTTACCCAGCTGTGCGCAAGCTCATTGTTTCTCAATGCCTTGTCTTACAATCCATGGCCCTGCTTTCCAGGTAAAGATTGGCTTCATGATCTACCTACATTCGTACCAAGCAGGTCATTGAGCTGGGAGCTGGAGGTGAGACAGGGACAGGAGCAGAAAGAGAAGCGACACGAAAGTGTTTAGAGTTTGCCTTATGTTATGAATTTGAATAGAGTAATTGGGAAGTGGAAGGCAGGAAGCTAAAATGTGTGGTTCCTTTGAGATTTGTGCTTTGTCTGTACTTAGAAATTTAAACAAAAATCTGTCTGTGAGCAGCAGCTGAAGTTGCCAGTACAGAGAGCCTCAAAAAGTGAAACAAATGTATCAAAGCCTTCCAGGCGGCAGGCAAAACATCCGTCTTGTTTGAATTTGGCCAATTAATGTAAACGAAGCCCCTAGATACAGGAAGCCAATTGGATTGAAATCTGATGGTGTTTACAACCTGAAACCAATCACATGATAAGAATGTGATGATGTCATCATGGGGAGAGAAGGCGAGGGAGAGAGCCGACTGTCATCTGCCAGAGTTAGCACCATTCAGCTCTCAGAGAAAGCACATCGAATTCATCAAAAGTACCACAGCATTTTAGCTCAAAGTCCTTACTGAAGAAATTTGAGAGATAAAACATTCCTGACAGCAGAATTAATGGAATAAAGGCGTTTGTGAAGAGAGTGGAGATGACAGAATATTCCAGAATCAGTCTGTGTGAATATGGAGAGATTAAATTATAATTTATTTATTGCTTCTTATTTATTGAGTTTATATTAGTGGGACTTGTTTTTATTTAAACAGCATTCCAGTAGAATTTAGACCATTTAGGGAGTAGTTAGCAGTGTGTGAACTGTCGGTTTGTTAGAAATTTTGTTAATGTATTCATTTTTGGGTTAAATAAATCAATTGTTTTTTGTTACTTGTAAAGTAGAGAGCAAGGATTTTCTTTCTGTTAAATGGTCTTTCAATGGATTGTGAGGGGAAAGGCAAACTTCTCTGGGTGTTTAGGGGGTAATTATTAGATGAGAACCCCTACTCCTGTCATAACAGATCAGGGCTTGTATTTTAGTTCAATTGTCAGAGGGGTTCAGCCATTCCCTGTCGTAACACCTTATGTCAGTTGTCTTTAGTGAGGGATGTCTGCCGGGCACTGTCCTGTCAGATTCCCAGGAACTGCAATGATTGGTAATGCATTAAAAACTGCACTGTAATTGATGAACGGATAGGCTGTGCATCATACACCAAGACAATGTAACAAATCCGATACAAAGCAGAGGGGATCATGTGCAGAAGGATGGGAGAATGCAATGCCAAATCAGTGTCCAGGGTGATATGAACAGAGATCTAGCCTGGTAGTCTCGTGATAAGGATTCAGTGCCTTCACTGCCATGGCCTGTTAATGGTTAACATTTACACTGATAAATATAAAATACTGACTAATCTTTAGAAGCAGAATGGATCGGTTAGAATCGCTTCATTGCATGTTACAGTTCCACATCAGCAATGTCAGCTGCAATTGCCTGATGTGCAATCAGTTTAAAACAAGAGGGAACGTCAGGAAAAGTGAAGGGCAATGGAAGCTTGTGAGAGCTGACTGTAAGCCTAGTGGAGACAGGCCCAATTTGGGTTCTCAAGACTGGTTTTCACTGATTACCCTGGTATACAGATCACTCCAGAACAATCACCCACAATGACTCTCCTTTGTGTGTCGTCCTTTGCACGTCTCATCTCAGTTCAGTGCCTAGAGGGGTTAACTTGGCAAATTTTGCTCAGGTCAGTTTTACAGTCTCATATTAAGACCATAACTTTTAGAAGCAGAAAGAGATCATTCAGCCCATCCAGTCTGCTCCACCATTCAATGAGCTTCTGTCTGAACTGATAAATTGAAACATACTTTCTTGCCTTTCCCCATAACCCTTGATACCTTTACTGATTAAAAATCTGTCAATCTCACTGTTGAATACAATAATGACCCCGATCTGACAATTCTCTGCTGTAAGGAATTCCACTGATTCACAGCCATCTGAGAGAATAAATGCTTCCTCATTTGTCTTAAATGTGCGACCCCCATTCTGATATTAGATGCTCTGGTTCAAGACTGCCCAGAAGGAAAACCAATGTTTTTTGTGTCCAACATGTTAAATCTCAAAGAAACCTGTCTGCTTTAATAAGGAGCAAGTCTTCTTTTGTAGTACTGTGTCTGAGCATGTGAAGTCAATGGATTTCAGCGCTTCCTCCTGTTTGGTTTTATCCTTGATATAAACTTTCAATGATTCTGACAGAGCTGTCCCCTTTATGTCTTTTAATGTCAGGAATTCACGTTCATTTTAAGAATTTGGACAGGAACAATAAAATCCTCATTCTTATTTGGGAATCAAACCAAGAACACAGCAGTTGCAATGCTGAATCCCAAAAAGGAAGGTGCGCACAATACTTGCAACTTTTCATCTTGACACTGCTTTTGACCTCCTTCAGTTCCAAAATGATAGTCAGTGAGATTTTAACACCACGGAGAGAGGCCCTTCAGCCCATTGTATCCATGCCAGTCATCAAACATCTCGCTTCCAAACCCAGTTTCCAGCACTTGGCCCATCGCCTCGTTTGCTCTGATGTTTCAAGTGCTTATCCAAAGTTATTGAATGGCTCGAGGGCATTAGTGGAACATAAACACTTTCTTCAACAAACAATAGGAAACTTTGCTCTTTGTTGCAATGTGAAATCTGCGTTTTCCTTCTTGGAGACAGTTATGAAAGCCATTCTCTTTCTCAGAGCCGTTTGCCAGTTTTCCTCATGATGCCAACAGTGTGGGTTTAAATCCCACACTGTCTGAGGTTACCACTGATGACTCTCCCCTTTCAACCTCTCTGCTGACATGAGATGTGGTGTCCCTCAGGTTAAAACATCAGCAGCTTTGCCTCCCTAATAAGAAAGCAGCCCTGTGACCCGGAATGTCCCACAAAGTGTCAGACTTTGTGATATTGTATCCCTGGGATGCAAAAGGCACGTTTTATACTCTATTAAATGTGTTATATATGTCAGTTGTCCTGGTAGGAAGAGGAAGATTCCTTGAACATATCACGCCAAATAAAACTCAATCTTTACAACGCTGGGCACTTAACCCAGAATTTCGAGCGCAACGCGCAGCATTGCTTATGACTGCGCAGGCTCAGTATGTTCCCGAATGCCCACAGTGTAGAGCATACGTATTGGGAGTGATCCTGAGAAGCAGTTGCTTTTTACCTCGGCTCCACAAAAGGTAACAATGTGGCGGAACAGAGGAGGCGATGGACCGGGCGGTTAGATGGGGAGGCTTTCTAAACACTTCGTGGATGCAGCAGACCCCGCATAAAGAAACTGTTTGCCCCCTGTTTTACAAAACGGGACAAATCGAGTCTCCTTCTTAATGGCAGGCCACGGGTAACGGCCGCCATCTTCGTAGGAGGCAAAGGGCAGCAAGGCGCATGTGCGGTCATTCTGGGCCAGGGGAGAGGATGTTGTGAATGTCTTTGCTGGACTGATAGGAATGGAGTTTATAAACGCCTTTTACTGGGAGTCAGGAGGGCAGCATTTACACACAGCAAACTCCAAATCAAATAAATATTTGCTTCTTCTGAAATTTTGTCCCAGACTGACTGAGATGGCTTTTGTAAATTTTTTTTACAGCACGTTAGAAGAGGACTTGCAGATCGAAAACCCAAACCAAATGATACACCAAGATCTAAGTGAGCCACTTTATTCATTCAGTACTGGATATTAATGGGCTTTGAATGTAAGTATTGAATAAAATAAAAGTAACATAAAATTCCTTCCTTACATCTCCCAATAACTATTGCCCGATATCTGTGTGTCTCATAGTTTTACTATCAGTAAAGAGGAACAGCTGCTCTTTATCTACCTTATTTAACCCTATCATGAATCTAGACACTTTATCAAATCTCATCGCAGCCTCCTTTGTTGTGTGCAGAGCAACTTCAGTTTTCTCCAACCTGACCTTACAACTAATATCCCTCAGTTCTTGAGCCATTCCGATTCATCTACTTTCAAATCTCTCCTCAGACCCTCACATCCTTTGTGGAGATCACCTGTTTGTGCAGACCCAAATGCTCTGTGTTCAAGTGGGTGATGTTATCACACACGAGCAATTACTCAGTGACATCACCCTGATTCCTGGGTATTTCCTGAACTGTGAGTTTGCTCTGATTCTAGTGCTTCTGATATCTTTTGAGCCGCAGATTCCGCATTTGATTTTAAAATGTTATTGGTTTCTGTGAGATCTTCCGTGTTCTTCTAAACGCCAGTGAATTTCATCCTATCTGATCCATTCTGATCTAAAACGTCAGTCCTGCCACTCCAGGAATCAGTCTGGTAAACGTTAATTGGAGCACCTCCATAGCCAGAACAGCCTTAGTCAGATACGTGTTCCAAAACCGCACACAATGTTCCAGGTGTAGTCTTAAAAGACCCTGTACACTTTCAGCAAGATATCCCTGTTCCTGTTCTTATTTCCTCTCGCTATGAAGGCCAACCTAGTATTTGCCGTCTTCATTTCCTGCCTCTGCCTGCATGCTTGCTTTCAGTGACTTGTGTGCAAGGACAAACAGATCTAATTTCTCGTTTCTCGTTCCCCTTTTGTAAATTCATGCTGACTGACTACGTCCAATCTGTCACTGTTTTCTAATGTTAACTAACCGGTCTATAAGTTAATGTTTTCTCTCTACCACCTTTTTAACACAGTGGAGTTACATTAGCTCCCTTCCAATTATGGGAACTATTCCAGAGTCTATAGCAGTATGAAAGATAATCATTAATTTCCTTAATTTAGATTCAAGCTCCTTGTTTCAAAATGTATCCATTATCTCTCAGGCCACTTTAAGTAGTCTGGGCTGTAGAATACCAGGTGCTGGGATATGTTGGCTTTCAATCCCATCAATTTTCCCCAGCATCATTTCCCTATTAATACTGATTTCCTTTACTTGCTCTTGTGTTCCCAACCTTTTTGGGGATATTATATATCTCGTTGTTTGTGATGACAGAACCAAAATATGTAGTTAATTGGTCTATCCATCTCTTTATTCCACATTATAACTTCCCCTGTTTCTGATTGTAAGGGACTTGTTTTCATTATTTTTTTTTCCTCTTCATATCCCTTTAGGAGCTTTTCCAATTAGTTTATATGTTCCCCACAAGCTTACCTTTTGACTTTATTTTCCCCTTCTTAACCAATCCCTTCGTCCACTTTTGCTGAAATCTGAACTGCACCCAGTCTTCAGGTCAGCTGCTCTTTTTTAGCTAATTTGTATGTCTCTTCCTTAGATCCAGTACTATCCCTAATATCCCTTGTTAGCTATGACAGGATCACCTTTCCCATTTTATTTTGTGCCAGACTGGAATGAACAACAGTTGCAGTTCCTCCAAGTGCTCTTTAAATGTTTGTCATCCCTTTTAAGTTTATGTTCCCCAAGTTATTGTACCCTGCGTGCATGTGCCTCATACCAATGTAATTACCTCTATTTAGATTTTGGCCCCGAGTCTCAGAATCAACACTGTCACTCTCCATCATAATGAACAGGTCTATCATGAAGAGGTTTTCACTCTTCCACAAGGGACGTTTCACAGCTAGATTGCCAATTAATCCATTTTCATTACACAATTAAAATTTTGAAATAAAGTTGCTGTAGTCCCAGAAGACGGTATTACTGCCCTCTCACTTCAGAGAGAGCGAGAGAGACACGACTAATGGTGCTTTAACCTCAGGGTTACCACACCTCAGGAAATGGGCAAGGTTAAGATGGTGGGACCTTCATGTTGACCTCAGCTGGTACAGGAATTGAGCACGTGCTGCTGGCATCACTCTGCGTCACCAACCAGCTGTCCAGCCAACTGAGCTAACCCACCCCTGACCATTACACATTACACCATTGAGGATTATCTGTCCTCCCTTTGGCTCCTCAATTTGTCAATCCAGAAAACCATTTTGTGTGCACTCCAGGAGTTTCTCGTATATGGTCTTGTTACTGATCTGATTTGCTCAATCTATGTGCAGATTGAAGTCATCCATAATAACCCTAAGAACACAAGGTGTGGAAGCAGAATTAGGCTATTTGGCCCATAAGGCTGCTCCACCATTTGATCGTGACTGATAAGTTTCTCAACCCCATTCTCCTACCTTCTGTAACCGTTGGTCCCATTACCAATCAAGGACCTAATTACCTGTGTCATAAATACATTCAAAAACTTGGCCTCCACAATCCTCTACAGAGTTCCACAAAATCATTACCCTCTGGCTGAAAAAATTCCTCCTCATCTCAGTCCTAAAGGGTCATCCCTTCTCTCTGAGGCTGTGCCCTCAGGTTCTAGCCTTTTGTATTAGTAGAAACATCTTCTCCGTGTCCATCTATCCAGGCCTCACAGTATTCTGTAAGTTTCAATCACAGTCATATAGTCTGACGGCATGGAAGCAGACCCTCAGTCCAGCTAGTCCATACCGACCATGTTCTGAAACTAAAGGAGTCCCACCTGCCTGCACATGGCCCATTTCTTATTTATGTACTTATCCAAATGGCTTTTAAACATTGTAACTGTACATATATCCACCACATGTTTTGGAGGTTTATTCCACATACAAACCACGCTCTGTATAAAAAGATAGCCCCGCTTCTTAGAATGTATTTCCTCTCACCTTAAAAATATGCCCCCTAGTCTTGAAATCTCCCACCCTGAAGTAAAGACACCTTCCGTTCACTTTATGTATACCCCTCAAGGGCAGGATCTATACAATTAATGGTAGGCCCCTAGATAGTGTTGTACCTAGATATCTTTGTACGTGAGATTGTGCCATAAGTGGCCACTTGTAAACTGTTCATTGTACTCATGTGAGTACATGTGACTCCAGTGATTTCTGGAAGATCACCACCAATTCCTCTACAATCTCCTTCAGAGTTCTGGGGTGTAGTCCATCCGGTCTTGGTGATTTATCTATCTGCAGATGTTTCAACTACCTCAGCTCCTTCTCCTTAGTAATGGCCACTACACTCACTTCTGACCCATGTTTCTCTCGAAGTTCTGGTATGTTGGTGTCTTCCACTGTGAAAACTGATGCAAGGTACTGATTCAGTTTCTCCATAATTTTTGTGCCCTAGTATTACTTCTCCAGCCCCATTTTCCAGTGCTCCAGTGTCCACTCTTGCCTCTCTGTAACCTTTTAGATACCGAAATGGGTATCAGCTTCTTTTATATTACTAGCTAGCTTACTCTCATATTTCGTCTTATCCCCTTTTTTTTAGTTACTCTGGTTTTTGAAGGTTTCACAATCCTCTGGCTTCCACAAATCTTCACTACGTTTTATGCTTTTTCTTTTGATTTTATGCTGTACAAAACCGTGGTGCGGCCACATCTGGAGTATTGTGTCCAGTTCTGATCACCTCATTACAGGAAAGATGTGGAAGCGTTGGAAAAGGTGCAGAGGAGATTTACCAGGATGTTGCCTGGAATGGAGGGACGGTCTTATGAGGAAAGGTTGAGAGAGCTAGTGCTTTTCTCTTCAGAATGACGAAGGATGAGCAGTAACTTGATAGGTGTACAAAACGATCTGAGGTAAAGATAGAGTGGACAGCCAGAGACTTTTTCCTCGGGTGGAGGTAGCTATTACAAGGGAGCATAGTTTTAAAGTGATGGAGGTAGATAGGCTCTTTACTCAGAGAGTGGTAGGGGTATGGAATGCATTGCTGGAGAAGGTAGTGGAGTTGGCCTCATTAGGGGCATTTAAGAAGCGGCTATTAGATAGGCATATGGATGATAATATAAGGTAAGGGTGGAGGTTAGATAGACTTTAGGTTTAGGGTAAAAGTTCAGCACAACATCGTGGGCCAAAAGGCCTGTACTGTTCTATGTTCTATGCTCTGTCTGACTTTCCTAGTCAGCCATGATTGTGTCATCCTCCCCTGAGTATGTTTCTTCATCCTTGGGATGAATTTCTGCAGTGTCTCCTGAATTACCCCAGAAACTCCTGCTATTGTTTCTTCACTTTCTTCCCATTTAGGTTCCCCCTTCCAATCAACTCTGGCCAGCTCCTTCCTCATGTCTTTGTAGTTACTTTTACTCAATTGTAATACTGTTGCAACAAAAACAAAGTTGCTGGAAAAGCTCAGCAGGTCTGGCAGCATCTGTGAAGGAGAAAACAGAGTTAACGTTTTGGGTCCAGTGACCCTTCCTCAGAACAGGCCAGAACAGAACTGTTGCATCTGATTCAATCTTCTCCCTCTCAAGCTGCAGGGTGAATTCTATTAAATTTATGGTCACTGCCTTCTCAAGGTTCCTTCACCCCTAATCAAATCTCCCTCATTATACGTCACTAAATCCAGAATTGCCTATTCCTCACTGAGTTCAACCATAAACGGCTCCAAAAACAATCTCATAGACATTCCACAAATTTCTTTTCTTGAAATCTGCTGCCAAGCTGATTTTTCCCAGTAATTTGTGTATTGAAGTACCCCATAATTATTGTAATAGTACCTTTTCTACATGCCTTTTCTCTCTCTCCTGATTTATTTCCTTCCACACATCCTGACGACTACTTGGAAGCTTGTACATAAGTTCCGTCAGGGTCTTTTTTTACTTTCCATCTGCCTATCTTTCATAAGATGTGTATCCTCGGATGTTTAGTTCCCAGCTCTGATCTCCTGACAACCACATCTGTGTTTGTCTCATATCTCCAATCTGCCCACATAACTGATGTGTGTCATTGCTGGGCTGATTTTGGGAGTGTTTTCTTTTTCTGGATCCTCTCTAATGCCTTCTACCTCATCGTAAAATGTTGTGTTCAAGTCTCAGTAAAACGTTCTCGTTCAGTTTGAACTCTTCCCCATTCAGCCCTTGAATTTTTTGTGCATTTTCTCCACCTCCACAGGGTTTCACCTGTGTAAAGCCACAAAGCAAAAGCTCCAAACAAAAGCCAAGAACTGTGGATGCTTGAAAACTGAAACAAAAACAGAAATAGCTGGTGACACTCAGCAGGTCTGGCATTATCTGTGGTGCCATCTGAGAGCAGAGTCAACGTTTCCACCTGACTTTTGTTGCACAAAGCTCCAGTTTTGTCCTGGAGTTTGACACAGTATCATATTTCCAATTCAGGCAGTTTCAGCCAATGAAGAGCGATTGGTTCACTCTGGTTGGAGGACCAACTTCACCTGAAAACATAAAATGCTGCAAATCACAGGTAGTCAGGCAGCATCCGTGGAGAGTGAGTAAACTAATGTTTCTGGTCTAGATGACCCTTCAGTGCTGGCGTGAAATGTGGAGGGGAAGCATTTATGCAACACTTGGGGGGTGGATGGCTGGAGTGCTGGGGGAGAAAGGGTGTTGATATTGCAGATTAAGTGATTGGAATGTGAGAATGGCAGAACAATGGTGTGTATAACTGTCAGACAGGAAAGGACAGATGGTCACATGGAGTTGGGGGAGGGGAAAGAAGACACGATGACAGAGAATGCAACAAGTAAAGCTTAACAAAAGGGAAGAAATGGGAGTGAATTCACAATCTGATGGTGTTGAACTCAATATTAAGTGCTGAGGGTTTCAAATTGCCTAGTCTAAAGATGAGATATTGTTCCTCCAGTTTGCACTGTGATTCGCTGGAGCATTGAAGCATGCTGAGGACAGACAAGTGGGCATGGGAGCAGGACGCTGTGTTAAAATGACCGGCTACGGGAAGGCCGGGTTGCGCACGGACTGGAGGTGTTCTGCAAGGTGGTCACTCAAAATATCTCCAATCTTCACTGCTTACAGTTCCTGAACATGTAGCGTTATCTACGAATTTTGAGATTCATGATCTACCTTATTATTGTATATCAGGAAAAGCAAATGTTCCAATACCAACCACTGGGGAATGCCACTACAAACCTTCCTCCAGCTTGAAGAATATCCATTGATCATTTCTTCGTTTCTTCTCAGTAGAGAATTTTTTTCTGAGGATGAGCTCACGGAACTCAATTCCTCAGAGAGTAATAATGGCAGTCATTAAAAATATTCAATGCAAAGGTTAAAGTCAAAGAATATTGGGAGCAGACCAGAAATTGAGACCACAATCGGATCAGTCACGACCTTATCGATGGCAGAGTGGGTTTGAGGGCCCAATAGCCTATTCTTGCTGCTGAACTGCATTTCTTGTTGTATTGGTGTTAGTGAGTAGCTCAGTGAGACCAGGGGCAGTGAAGTGGGGGGTGCATCTCACCAGAGAGAAGGTAATCTGAGATCATTGTGGAAGATTGGAGAGAAACTGAAAGAGAAAGGCAAATTCAGGAAATGTCTGGATGATGCTACTCGTCCCAATCTATCAGAAAATGTAGAATTCCTGTTAAAATATTTGAGTGTTGTTGTACACTGTCTAGTTTCTGAATGAATACATAATACCACTAATTCTGACAGTGGAGTCTGTATCCTAACAATAGAAATTTCTGGAGAAACTCAGGAGGTCTGACAGCAGCTGTGGAGAGGGAGCAGAGTTAATATTTCTCTCCTCAGATGCTGCCAGACCTGCTGAGTTTCTCCAACCATTTTTGTTTTAGTTTCAGATTTCCAGCATCTTTGTACTTAAATGGAATCTTTATGTTGCTTTTGATTATGTCTAATCCTTCGTTACAAACGCATCATGGGGTGGCCTTACTTTTATCCTTTATTTTTATTTCCAATTCATTTTAACCTGTAATATTTAACACCCAGTTATGACCAGCTTCTGGCCAGACCCTCTCTGATGTCACTGTCACATCATCAAAGCTGCATTTAGAGCTTCAGCCCCAGTCCATTTGTGTATTTGACTCTCAGTCCATAAACCTTTTTCTCAGGTATGAGACCTTGTTCTTGTGTGCAGATGCTGCTTTTCTCAGTGTTTGAATTCTCACTTTTCTTGTGTCCCTATTATCTAGATCTTGTACCTTCACTCTGGGTGTGATGATGGACTGACTGTGTGTTAGAAGGAGCTGGCTGCACTTTTCCTCATGCTGAGGAATCACCACATTCTTTTTGGTTCCCACAAGAATTGACTGTGCATGAAAGAGAAAAGAACATCTCCAGTAATTTAAGGTCAGGTGAGGTGAAAGGTTTCCATATGTCCATTTCTCCATATATAATGGTCTATGAGAGAGAGTATAGGTATCTGCCAGATTTGCTGCTTCACTGGTCTTGAATATTTGATGCTCATCTAAATAAGTTTCTACATTTGAAAGACTTTTTTTAAAATCATTCCATGATAATAATTTCCTTTGCATTCTCAAAACGTTTTTCTAATTTGACTGATCGAAACCACTGCCATTTTGTCAGTCCAACTACCTTCTCAGATGAGGTAAAATATGTTTCAACTCCATCCTTGTTCAATTACTTCAAGTTACATTACTTACAAAATAAAAACTGAAAGAACTGCAGATGCTGTGAATCAGCAAAAACAGAAATTGCTGGAAAAGAGCAGTAGGTCTGAGACATCTGTGAAGAGAAATCAGAGTTAACATCTCTGGTCTGGTGACCCCTCCTCAGTTCTCAGGAAGGGTCACCAAACCCACAAACCTTAACTCTGATTTCTCTTCACAGATGCTGCCAGACCTGTTGAGCTTTTCCAGCAATTTCTGTTTTTGTTGTATTACTTAGTTGTTCATTGTATAAATTAGAAAAAATGAGAAATAAAGTTTAAAAAGATAAACATTACAACCCTTATAGAAAGGGCCTGCAGTAGATGAACACGGTGGGGGGGGGGCTTCCACACATGGTCTGCACAAGCTCGTAAGCCGCTAACTGCCTGCACTGGTCCCAAGTCCAATAACCGTGCCCCCTCCACTCAGGCCTTCGACCTACTGGCCATCCCCGCTCCGCTTGGGCCTCCAGCTGCTCTGCCTCAGGAGAAGGTGGGGGAGGGGGAGGAAGGAAAAAAGAGAAGAAAGTGGGAAATAAGCAGAAGGAGTGGAGGAGCTCTGGTTGGAGCATCCTATTCCACCCCCGTCTTGAATGCTTTTATTTTGATTTTGGTTTGCTTGAACAATGTGATCTCTCTCTGAAACAGAACTATACAATGCTGCAGATTTTGCTTTAACAATAAAATAGAAGTTTATTAGAAAAAGAGATGAATTTAAAATAGAATAAACCAACCATTTATTTAATACAAATTCAAAAGTTTACGTTTAAAAGCCTAGTAAATGTGTAATCCCACAAATCCGAAAAACTCAGTTAGAAATGGAAAAGAAACAAAACAGTTTTTGTACATTAACCAACACAGCTCTGATTGAAACGTAGAAGTTAGGAGTAGGAGTAGGCCATTCAGCCTTTGAGTGTGCTCTTCCATTCAATATGATCATGACTGACCCTCATCTCAGTACCCCATTCCTGCTTTCCCCCCCACAACCCCTGCACTCTTGATCCCTTTAAAATTAAAAAAAAAATTAGCCATCTCATTCTTTGAATATATTCAGTGACTTGGCTTCACAGCCTTCTGTGGGAGAGAATTCTACAGATTCATTACTGTTTCAGTGAATATGTTTCCTCATCTCAGTCCTAAATGGCTTATCCTGTATCCTAAGACTCGTGCAGTACTCATACCAGAGTCCCTGGTCTACATCTTGCTATGTTTAACACACTTAAGCCTTTAACTTTTGGACTGGAACCCCACAGAGCTTCTCCCTGGAGCAATTACATACCTGGCCTTAAATATACTCAGCTTTAAATAACCATTTCAGGATTTAATTAGAACACTCCTGGTGTGGGACAAACACTAATTGCTCATTCTAAGGTAACCTAGTTCACTGTAATCCCCTTCCCTGTTTGGAACACTGTTCTGCACAGCCACCTTATTCCAACAACCTCTCAGGTCTGGTCAAAACTCAGAGTAAAACTGAAACCTACAGTCTTTTTCTCTAAGCTATGAGAATTTCCTGTAAGCTTTTGAAAACTAGAAGTCTCTAACGAGGCTAGAATCGAACCTGGGTCCCCAGTGAAGCAGCAGTGCTAACCACAGAGCCCATACGGTCAAATCCAGGTTGTATCTGACTGGATAATGTATGATTCTGACGAGTGTTTCTCACCTTGATGATGATGATGAGGTCACCCCATCAATGTCTCCCCTGGACCCAGATCCTGAGGAACAAGTGCCTGGGGTAGTTTGTGCCTTGACCTGGATCCAGTTTTGAACTCCCTCCCACGTCTCATCACATCCTGCTGTTCTAATGAAAAGATTCCCAGTTTCTCTTGTCTCTCCTCATGGGTAGTGAAGTTAGAACCAAATTAGAATCTCAAACTGCAGCTTCAGAGCAAACAGGACACCCTGAGAAACATTTCATTCCTCAGTGAGCTGTTCTGATCTGGAATGCAGTGTCTGAAGGATTGGTGCAGTAACAGGAACTTTCAAAAAGAAATTGGATAACTGCTTGAAGGAAAGCACTTCAGACTGATGGGGAAACAGCAGTGGAGTGGATGGAGTTTGAAATTCAACAGGTCACTTTGCTGCAGATAGTTTGCATGATAACACTGATAAAACGTTCCACTCCACATTAAAATTCCAAGGGTTCATGGGAAACTAAGGTAAAATGGGAGATCTTCATTTCGGATTGAAATGAAGCTGGATCTAGTGTTTGGGAAGTGGTAACTGTTCAGCTTGTAAAGTCGTCAGAAATACTGATATTTGGAAACTTTTATCAGTTTTGTAATAACTTCTACAGAGAGACTAAGTGAGAGAGATTTGCACCTTCTGAGGTTTCCTTCCTTACCGACCACCGAGATCAGTGAAAATACTCATCAAGACTGGAAAGGGTTGCTAGGAAACCCATCAGTACTCAGAATTCCCCATAATCTTTTCAAAAAACATGTTTTCCAGGAATTAATTTCCAGAAATCCCATCTCCCAAAAAGTTTTACTTCTTAGGAGAAAAAATAAGTCATTTGCCTTTCCATATTTATCAAGTAAACCACAGCAGATTTAAAATGTGAACTCATTTTCCAAATAAATAATTAAAAACTCTTTACATTCCAGGAAGTGTCCAAGCAATTCCTTATCTTCCTATTTTTCACATAGATATAAATTTTATTCTCAACACTACCCATAGTACTCGAAAGCATTCCCACTAATACATTGCACAATCATAATGAGTTTTGCAAATCAGGACAAACAGTCCACTTGTTTTCCTGATTACTTGCTATACCTGCATACAACTGTACATGATCCAAGGACACCCAGCTCTGTCTGCAGTGCAGCATTCTGCTGCCTCCTCTATTGAAGGACTGCTCTGCATTTCTATACATCTTGCCAGAGATGACATCCATACATTTTCTGACAACGAGGCTCAATCTGTCATTTTGATTTACCCAGTACCTTTCTGGCTTACAGGTTCCGTCTAACCCTCCTCTTGCTTGGCAAATTTTGTTACAGTACAGTTGACTCCTACATCCAAGTCAGTCGTATAGATTGGAAATAGTTGAAGTCCCAGCACTGATCTGTGGTATTCAGAGTTAAAGTTGGCCAGCCTGAAAACTAATAATTTATCCCAACTAGCAGGCTGCTATTAGTGAGTGAACCCTCTGCTATACTAACCACCAAAACCATTAGCTCTTACTTTGCACAGAAACCTTTTACCTGACAACTTGTTGCACGCTGGGTGGAAATCCAGATACACAACATTGAGTCTTTTTTCTCCACTCTCCTTGTCACGTCCTCCAAGAGGTCAAAGCTCCTCACTCTTGTTGGAAGTAAGGTTGCAAGAGACGGGGGGAGAGGGAAATTCCTTCAAGGAAATAATTTATATTGGAGATATTATTGTCCAGATCCTTGTACACAAATCACAGAAAGCTAATGTGATGGTATCACCAAATAATAGGAGGACATCTGATGGGTTGCTAGTTATTACTAGGGGATGGGACGAGGGAAGTGAAGAAGTTTTGTACAGGGGACACACTCGCCACGAACCAACTCAAAAAGGCTAACGGCTGAATGTGGAACCGTGCATGACAGAAGGTTATTTGGTTTTCCAACAGGCATCAGTTCTTGGCAGTTTTCAATTTAAACATTGAACATTTTCTTGGTGAAAATAGTTTGGAAGATAAGTTGTGAAGAGAATCTAAAGGGTATTCAGATTCAGTGATGGTCAGTGCATGGGTAATGTACTGTCTGATGTGATATTTCTCAGGAACAATTGATAAAGTGTCTTTAATTTAAATGGGGAGACGTTCATAGATCGTAGAATCCCTACAGTGTGGAAACCGGCCCTTCGGTAAAGCAAGTCCACACCAGAGCATCCCACCCAGACCCATCTCCCTATAACCCACCTAATCCACGCATCCCTGAATGCTATGGGCAATTTAGCATGACCAAGCTACCTAGTCTGCAATCTTTGGACTGTGGGAGGAAACCAGAGCACCCAGAGGGGACCCACACATACACGGGGAGAATGTGCAAACTCCACGCAGTCCGAGGGTGGAATTGAACCCGGGTCCCTGGCACTGAGAGGCAGCAGTGCTAATCTCTGAGCTACTACAGTGTCGCCTGTGTTGCACGACTCCGAGGTACAGAAGGATCTCAGTGTTCTGGGATATGAATCACACTGAATTAGTCTGCAGGGATAGCAAGTGATTAGGAAGACAAAAGGATGTTTTTGTTTTCCC